TCAAAGACCATAGATGAACCAAATAGCTGTGAAATCCACCTTGGGGACAATTTTGTACCAAAACTAAAGAAATAAAATCTTTGATTCTTTTGTAGTTGGGAATATACACAGAGCCTCTGGGATTTATGTTCCTCCTGTCGTGAGTGAATGAGCTTCCCAGCATTAAACGTGTAAAAAGCCTTCATGTATCATTAAAGCAGTCTCACACCTTTGCTCCTTCTCCCTCAATCAGGTCTGTGTGGCAGTATGAAATTCGATGAAGCCAGCGAGCACGAGGACGATGTGGAGGAGGAACGGACACGTTCTCTGTCCCCAAGTACAGATGCCACCAGACCCTCCTCTGCCGCCAGTGGCAAGGACATTCCAGTGAGTAGCCCCGATAAATGCACTCACCAGGAAGCCTAGTACGTGGGCTTCATAATCCCAATCCCATTGCTAAATACTGTGCGAAAAAAACTGTTAACAAAAGGACTGTACTGTATTTATTGTACCCAGGAGGTGGTAACCCCGGGATCACCCACAGCAGACAGCGTGCTAATTGATGTGGCCAATCTAGAGGAGTTTGTCTTTCGTCCCGCTCCACGTGGTGTCACTGTTAAATGTCGAATCACACGGGACAAAAAGGGCATGGACCGCGGCCTTTACCCAACATACTTCATGCACATGGAGAGGGAGGACGGCAAGAGAGTGAGTGTGGGCCATGGGTCTTATGTTGTTGCAAGGAATTGTAGAGGGATTAGTCGATTAGTTGACTGGCAGAAAATTAATCAGCAACTATTTGATCATCAAAACATATTTCATAGTTTTTCAGTGTAATTTTTTAAAGCAAAAATTAGATTTTCTGTTTCCAGGTTGATGAAGACAACTTGCTCTTTAGGTGCACTAAATCTGATCAGCCCAAGTTGAATCTGATATCAGAGAAGCCTTTAGCACAGCAGGCATGTGAGGATAAAGTCATACCAAACATTTAAAGACCCCCCCACCTTCTCAACTTCAGGTCAGACTCATTGTCTGCAATTACCGGCCAAAACCAGTTTCTTCCCTTGCACATCACAGGAAGACTTAACATCTTCAAGGTCCTCAGCTTATCTTTACTACCGGACAGCCTGAACCTCCTCACGCAAAGCTGGCCAAATGTGAAGGTCATCAAGGCCCCTCAAGTTACTTGACAATACAGAAACCATACATTTCTTGATATCTAATACATTTTTCTACAACACAGGTTGTCAAAATTGTGGATTTGATGCTTTTCATATATTCTAGTAAATTGTCCATCTTTGGGTTTGGTACTATTGGTTGGTGAAATCTCTGGGAAATTATTATGGCATTTTTCACAATTTTCCATCATTTTATAGACAAAACAATGAATCGAGACATAGTTGGCACGTTAGTCTACAATGAAAATAATCATTAATCATATTAATCATAAATAATCATTCATTTCTAATGAATTGTTATACAAGCGATATATAAAGTGAGTAAGACAAATGGACTGTAAATGGAAAATTGATCAACCAAAATAGTTCAGAAAGAGTAATAAAGAGTAAACTACAAGATAATTCACCTCTAGTTAAGCAGAGTACAGTATCTGTGTACAGTACAGACGTAAATATGTTCATTCAGCATTTATTTCCGTCTCTCTTTCCAGGTGTTTTTGCTGGCAGGAAGGAAGAGAAAGAAGAGTAAGACGTCCAACTACCTTATTTCAGTAGATGCCACTGATCTGTCGCGAGAGGGAGAGAGCTTCATAGGTAAACTGAGGTAAAACCAAAATTGTTCTTAGATCTACCTGTGTCCCTCTTGAAGGTCATACTGATATCTGCCTAAATTGCTTCTGAAAATCTTGTTGGATTAACTATTCATGTTTTTTGTACATGCTACTAAACTGCATTTTGTGCTGACTGTATGACTCAAATTTAACTTAATTATAATTCACACGTCTTGGACAGACATTGGCATTATGCCCGCACAATGGGCAAATTACAACTCTTAGTAATTGCTGTTGCTGAAATTATAGCTTTCCGTAGTTATGTTTGGTTGGTTTTAAGAAGGTCAAGCACAGTGCTTTTGCCACTCCACATGACTCAAATGTTAAAAATACTGCCAGCAATTCACAAATGTGAAATGGTGGAAGGTTTTCATCACCAGTGTGTATTGTGTCAGGTCCAACCTCATGGGCACCAAATTCACAGTGTATGACAACGGCACCAATCCCTGCAAAAACCCCGGGGCGCTGTTGGAAGAGAGCAACACACGACAGGAACTGGCTGCCATCTGCTATGTGAGTGAATGACAGACACACACAAGCATTTGCTGCGACAGTTCAGTCATAATATTAAATGAAATTGTCACACGCTCTGTACCATTTGGCAGGAAACCAACGTGCTGGGATTCAAAGGACCACGTAAGATGACTGTAATTATCCCGGGCATGAACATGAACTTTGAAAGAGTCCCTGTAAGGCCTCAAAATGTGAGTCTGATGGTCCTAGAATTGTTTTTAAAACATCTATTCTTTGTTTAATGTGATGTTATATACACATTTATATTCATCTTGACTAAAAAAAATAAAAAATCTGTTTACCTGTAGCCAAACTGACATTTTGCAAAAGTTGTATGAATCATATCGAGTGACATTTCAGTTTTTCTGGTATGTGAACTGCAAAGACATAAAGTGTATGCGTTTTGATTTGTATTCTGATTTGCTCTGAACAACAGCATTGACTGAACATGGATATGCTTGCATTACAGGAACAGGAGAGCCTCCTGAGCAGGTGGCAGAATCACACACTAGACAACCTGATTGAGTTGCACAATAAGGCCCCCGTGTGGAACGATGACACCCAGTCTTACGTGCTGAACTTCCATGGCCGCGTTACTCAAGCCTCAGTCAAAAACTTTCAAATAGTCCACGACAATGACCGTAAGTACCCTCACTCTCTCTCTCTGTACATACTGCATCTCTGTTTCTCTACAAGGAGACAAGGGCACGTAGTAAAACGCTTGTGTGGGAGTAGATTATATTAAAGAGAATTGATATTTGCTTCACTCTTTTCTACACATTTGCAGCATATGCACTGCTCAGGCTTACAGTGATGATAACATGCTGTATGTTGTACTGTTCCCCTAACTGTAGCTGACTACATCGTCATGCAGTTTGGCAGAGTGGCTGAAGACATCTTCACTCTGGACTACAACTATCCCATGTGTGCTCTTCAAGCCTTTGCTATCGGCCTGTCCAGCTTTGACAGCAAGTTGGCCTGCGAATGAACCAGTTGTACCTCCGCGCCACCACTTTTCCTGTCCTCCCTCAAATCTCTTATGGCCAGACTATTTGGAAGCCGACAGAGACGACACAGAAGTTAACTAACAAACATGACACTGAAAAAAGAACAAGAGGATTCTGAGCAGAGGTGTCTGCTCTGTTGGCCAATCCAACAACCCTCTTGGTTCCTGTGTGCTGTTTTTTCAGGCCATTTTAGTGGGTTATTTCAATATCAGTGTAACCATTTTGTACAGTATATGTGTACTTGTACAAATGTATACAACTTAAAAGGGAAAAGACAAGACATCTGTGTGGAGATGCGAAATCTGGTGCAAAAAGAACTGATGTTTTAAATTTAAGACTGAAATATTGTTTGAAAGGCAGTGATGTGTGTATTAATGATGTGATTTCTGTTACCTTTAAATTTGATTTCACTTTGTTTTTTTTGTTGCCACACTAGCACCATGGCTTTAAGAGTGGCACAGTCAGGTGAGATCGCTCTATGGAGCACATACCGTTTTAATTACAAAACATGGCCTTTCCTCTGGCGCCACCCTCTGGCCAAACTTTAGAGTCATTTGGTAACCAGGAATCAAATATTCTTGTCTGTTAAGTAATGGGCATCACAGTCTGGGTGCTAGCCTGACATCTTTAAATGTTTCTACATGGTTTAATCTGCCATCTACACATTTTGACACCATTCCTTTATCATCATGTTGTCGTCGCTCTTTTTATTATTGTGTGGAAGGTGCATAATCCCGAAGAGGCCTGTCTTATGGTTTTTGTGGGTTTTTTTGTGTGAATATGTGTCATTTTTATCTTGTGACTGTGATTTTTCTTTGTCATAACAAGTTAGATTATCATGAAAAAGAAAACAAATGCAGAATTGCACAAATTTTAAGAGAAAGTAAATACATACTGTATATAAGAGAATGCCTTCCTTTTTTAAATATTCTAGTTGTCGTTAAACAACATAAAATGCTTGATGTTATTTCAAGACATGGACTTTCAAAATAGTGGATAGAATAGATAGTTAAGTATTAATACACTAGACAGAGCTTATATTTTCATTGGTACATAGATACAGAAGTCACACCAGACTTTTATGTTTGTATGAAGAGAAACAACAAGAGGTCTACTGTATCTATTGTATTCAAGATATAAGTGGCATTTTACTGTTTGAGATGGAGGTAGAGCCAAGTTTCTACAGTCTACATGTTGTCTGTCTCAAAATCTCTATTTTTTAATCTCTTCTCTTTAATGTGGAAACTTAAGGGAAATCAATAAAGGATAGGAACCCTATGTGGCTTTACATCATTAAAGGTCCCTAATATTTTGGTAATCAGAGTACTGTATGTCTGTGAAGGAAGTGAAAACAAAATGAAAACGTCTGTATAGTACATAGATCTTGCAGGTCATTATTGCTTCACACCCAACCGTAAACAATTCACTCACAATTACTTTTGAGTCGGTCTAATCTGGATCCTTCCGTGGGACAATGGGACGAGGAGGCTTTTCAGGGGTAGATGTAACTACTGTTTGACTAAGGTGTTCCTGCTCAGAAATCCTCCCTAACGTGCAAAACAAACAGATTTAAATACCTGGTTGGTTTTAAAGAAATTTGAAATATTCCAAACATTTTCAAAATAACTGTGTGCCAGGAATTTATGAAAGTCCTGTTTTGTCATCTTGTGCGCAGTGGAGTTTTGAAGCGAGAAAAAGATTCATCGAATATATTTTGAAATATAAATGCTTTTACTACAAGACACAGGTAAAACACATTCCAGTCTAACGTTTGAAAAAACAACAACAACAAAAAAAAAAACATACAATCAGGTATATGGCTGTATTTTAACAGATAGAAATATAACAATGGATGGTCAAACTTGTTTATCATGTTGAAATGCAGAGATGAATGTATCCAGTGAGGGGTTTATTTTCATAAACCTAACAGATGTCAATTTGATTCAGAAAAACAAAAGTACTCATTTCCATTGATGTAAAAATGTTTGAATAACCAAAATAAAGTGCTTTGTGAGTTTGAACTACATTTTAACTGTCTGCTTACATGTCTTCATTGTTGTCAGGGCAAACATCATTGCATATAATCTATATATTGTGCATTTTATCCAAGCGAACTGAGCATTTACTGAAGCTGTTGATGATAAAATTTGATAACATTTCAGGTCATCTTAAAACTGGATACCTTTAACGATGTTTATGTATGAACAATTAACATCAACTAGCTCTCCTGCAATCAATGCCTTTTCTTTTTCATCAAATATCAATCTCCTTGGGCAGGTCTTTATACTTGATGAGGTAATATGGGTAGCACTGACAGCTATCAAAAACTACAAACATGGTGGGTTGGTCCACGTTGTCCACACAGGTGTCATACAGACGGTACTCCTGCCGCTTCGAGATAAGTGGCGGCGGCCGGCGGTAGTTGCTCTTCCCAACACTCACCTTCCCTACCAGGACTTTGGCCAGGAACGTGTGGCGGACCTGATCTGGCCCCGTCTTAGCTGAGTAGGTGTTGGAGAAGGAGGCGGTGGTGGCGAAGTAGGAGCCATAACCGCAGGATGCTCCGTTGACCCCGGCCAGGCGAGGGTCAAAGTTATTGTGGCAGATTTCCTCTGAGGCCTCTTTGGTTGTCCCGTGGAAGAGATGTCTCTCCAAAGGCTCCTTGGACTTGGAATGCTGCTTCTGCATGTAAGCTTTGTGCCTGTATTAATAACGCAAACACATGTGTTTTGATGTACCTTGTGTCTTTTGTGTCTCCTGCCTTTTTACTTCACTCACATAAAAACTTAAAATATAGATGGATATTTAGACTGAACATGTTCAGACGTACTGTGTATATTAGTTTGCCAGTATTTTGTGCTGAAATGAGCTTTTGGCAAATTATTGTCTTTGTTTACCACCTTAGGTTGGATATGATTGTTTAACTCCAACATAAGTCTTGGTATCAGTTAGGACCCATAATTAATACAAGCACAACTTTAACTTGAGTCTTTAAGGGTTGTAGACTAGATACACAAACATCAGCTGTACCTTTGGTACTTGTCCCAGTGGAGGAGGTTCTGGACCTGCTGGATGCTGATGATGTCCACCTTGGTCTCTGGTAGGCTCTCATGGAAGAGGTTTTGGACGGCCCTGTAGGCCTGTGTGCCGGCCGGAACATCCACCAGGCTGTAGTCTTGCTCTGAGGCCAGACACCACACTGGAGGATACCATGAGCTGAACTCCTCTAGGGGGTCCACGCTGAAGTTGGCTGGTGGGGGATCACTGGCAGTCTGGATTCCTGTCCTGGGTGTGGGGAGGAAGGGAAGATACTAACGTGGGTTTCTATCGTAATTCTGCCTACACTGCTATTTCAGTTGATTGAAGCCAGTATTTGAACTGGACAATAGAAATTACATTACCGTACTTACGCTCCTAACTATTGTCACAATCATTTTATATGAAAATACTCAAATTTCTATACAAAGTTACACACATTGTTTGTCCAAAGTGAAGAATTGGAAAAGCATCTGAAACTGTATTTGTATACATGGGCCACAGAAACTTTTCTTTAAAAAATCCATTAAAATTTAAATAATATAAACAATATAAACAACAAACGGTTGCATTTAATCTGGTTAAGAATGTTGTATTCCTTTCAGACCTTTTGACTAAAGAGTACAATAAATATGTAATAACACATTCTGCATCAGAGGTGAAAAAATTAAATTAAAAAGGAAAACTAACACCTTTTTTTGTCAGGAGCAGCTTGCAGGTACATATGAGAGGAAGAAGGGAACAGGGGCATGCTAATAACTGCAATGCTATCTTTTTGTACGCATTAATGTTTCAGCACATTTTACCTTGTTCAGGGTATCTGATTTTGTGCCGATTTAGTTTGTGGACTCTTAGCACACATGTTGATAAATGCAAAGAAACTACTGAAAGTGAGATTAGTGTATTTTCTACCCTTTTACCTTTGGATTCTTCACTGTATCTGCTGAGCTTGTTTCCGCACCACAAACAAAATTTGGAAGTTAAGACGTAAATGCTCTACATTGTTTGTGAATTGAAGACAAGTCGAGAAAGAGAAAAGATCCACAATACTAACTGCAGGTATGGCTGCATGGAATCAGGGGAGCGGTAGACGGGTCTGCAGCGAACTTCCCTCTGGAACCCTGTGGTGACGTTGGTCTGAGTCATGGTGGTGAAGTCAACCTTGTACTCCTGTGAGCCAATACAGAAGGAAGACTCTGGCTCCTTTTTACTCATCTTCTTCAGCAGACAGGTGGACACAGTCTATGAAGAGATGAGCCAATCAATGACCAAGCAGATGGTGACAGATGGTATTGGGTGCAACTTATGGCAAATGAGACAGTGGTTAGAGATAAAAATAGAACAAAACAGGACTATGAAGAGCAGAACAAGAGAACTAATAAATAATAATAAAATAGAGGAAACATTCACCTTGTTGTACTCTTCCCACTCGAAGTTGTTCCACCAGTAGATTTTCCATTTGCTCGGAAAGTAAGGGTTGCTGACCAGACTGTCTGAGTTTGTCAGTCGTCTAACTGCATCATATTTAGATGGGTCATCCAACTCCATCGAGTCAAAGTTCAGAGTGTAGCGTACATGCCTAAAGAAACACATTCCCATTTGTTTTTGACTCAGGGTGAAAAACAGCAGAAAACATCTTCTAACAGCAACATGCAATAAGCTTAAAGCAGAGATCTGACCCCAGCTCTACCCACTTACTCACCCATCCTTGAGGTAAATGACCTCTTGGGTGACATCACTGTAGATCCTCTCCAGTAAGACCTGAGAGTGAGGGGCGATGTCGATCCACTGGTGTGTGATCACACTCCACAGCTGCCAGTGAAACGGGTAGGGAGTGTGGTGCATCTTACACTTCTTCCCGGCGTGACACATATTCAAGAGGAAGTTGTCACAGATCTGGATGTCAGCCGAGCTCTTCGTGTGGAACGGAGACAGGACAGGCACCTTGGATGGGGCTTGCAGCTTGGTGGGGGTGGCTGTCGGGGTCTGGATGGCGGGCGGGACCTCTTTCTTCGTAGGGGTGCTGGGCAGACAGGCAGGCTGTGGTTGGGTGATGATGAGAGGCAGCGGACAGATGAGGGAGGTGGCTGGGTTAGGGTTTGGAGGGCTTGGCAGAGATTGGGTACTGTTCTGAGAGAAGTTGAGCACGACACAGGAGGTGTTCTGGGAGGCGCCATACAGCTGAGCGATGGACTGGATGACCATCTGAGGCTGCAGCATGCTGGAAGAAGGCGCTGAGGTCTGTGCCACGCTCGACGGACTCTCACTTTTGCTGGAAGTTGTGGTGGTGCTCTGCTTAGAGGTCACAGGGGTCAAGTGGATGGTCATGCTGTAGGGGTTGAAGGTCCAGGCAATGTTGAGGTGCTGAGATCTCAGGGCATCCCAGACTGGGAGGCTGGTGTTGGTGTCAGCAGGGATTTCCAGTAGGAGGAGAGACGGGCTCAGCAAGGTGACTTTAGAAGATTTGGACTGGGACTCCAAAATATCCTTCTCTGACTTTCTCTTCTTTGTTCTGGTGGATGAAGGCATCTTGGACCTCCTGTAAAAAAAAAAAAAACATTTAACAATAAATTTTTTGTATTTTTTGTAAAAACGGTTAAAGTTAAAGTGGTTTTCTTTATGTCCATTAACTGGAGGCCATAATTTATGTAATTTAACTTTACCAACTGCTAGCTAACAACACAAACTTTATATTTTAACACACTTGTGAATTTTAAAGACATTTTTTTGCTATTAGCTAACTTTCACGCACTATTAGCATTGCGGCTATAACTTAAGTAATGTTAGCTAATAAACCGATTTGTAAGCTACTTAACGAGTTAAGGATTATCCAACCTTACCGTCAGTCCAGACACCTGCTGAGGCCTGTAACGCTGAATCACCAGCTTCACACAAGTCAACTGCACTCAGAAAATGATGGAAGAAAGAACTTTGCTATCGGTAAGAAAGCAAACACTATATCGACGTGCCGGGCTACAAAGTTTAGTGGGTGGGGTGATGGGGGCAGTATTTTGCCAGTAATTACACATACAGATAAAATGTGCATGCTTAAAGTATACACCATGATTTTCTGAACTTGAATTGAATTTTTCGATAAGCAGATATAAAGAAAGAAAACAAGTTTCTTGTTTATTTATAATAGTCAAATTGTAACGTTAAGTAACAAAAGCTGCCAGGTGTTACACATTGCACTTTAGTTTCATATATTGAAATACCAGACATGAGTGATTTTATAAATACTGTAGGCTACCATGTAATTTTATTATAAAATAGGGAAATTATTTCACATTTCTACCATAACCCTAAGATGATAGAACACGATTTACACACACACACACACACCTTTAATTTTCAACATGTAGCATAAGGCCTACACTACAGGCAGGACTTTTAGGTTGCAAAAAAAATCAAATCAAAAAAAATCAAGGGAAGTCATGATCTTTGCAAATAATTTATTTCTAAAAGGGAGCGCTCTCAAATTTCTGTTACATCATTAGTATTTGCACATAAAGCATAGTCTATTTAGTGTTTTAGTGCCATATATCTGTAGTTATTAACAATATTGGGCTAAGTTTGATCCATCAAATTACAGCTGTATTAATTCATTGTTTCAGACCACACCGCACCATTATAAAAAGTAAGCAGTCGCTTTCTGAAAAGACAAAGTATTCATTCTGTTATAAACTGGAAAACAAGGAAAAGGTTGTCAGACATTGCATTGAACCAGTAAGGCAAGTGCTGAAATTATGCAATTTGTTTTTAGATTCTTAGTGCTTTCTTCATACTATTAAAAAAAAAATTCCTATTCCTTTTGAGCCGAACAAAACTAAAAAGTTGTGAAATTCAAATGTACTTTCAACAATACAAAACAGCTTTCACAGTCACCTCCAGTGGTTCAATCATCAAAGGACACTGCTGACAACCCACCCAGAAGTATGGAAAGACTTTTTCAGTGATGGAGTGCTTGAAGGTGTAGATGTTGGTGTTGTCATGTGGGTCGTAGAAAGACACCCTGCCCTTGTCACAGTCCAGCTGCACTCTGATCTTTTGCGGGTTCCTCTTCAAGTTAAGCCTTGTTAAAGGAGAGGTACCTGCAAAGTACATTTTGTGGTAGAAGTACACGCACAGGTAGCCGTTCTTCAGCACTGAAGACACTTTCTCTTTCTTCTGGACAGATTCTTTTGCCACGCCAACAACCCACGCTGTGTTTTCTCCCACAGTGACGTCCCAGGCATGCTTGCCTGAGGTGAAGCCCTCGTGGCCCAGTACACCGGTGTCGGGGTCATACCTTTCCGGGTTGTCGGGCAGCTTCTGCTTCTCATCACTGTCACAGACGCTGGTGAGGTCGTCTGACAGAACGAGCCACGGGGCAGCAGTGTTGGGGTTCAGAGTCACTGGGGCTGAAGAAATGGCAGATTGTCAGCTGTCTCCGGTAACATACTCATTCAGCATCACAACCCCCCCGCGGGATACATGAAGCAAGATAAACTGCATCAGAAAGTTTGAAGAATAAACCTCACCATGGCCTGAAAAGTAGGCTAGAGTATGTACTCACTGTATTTGACGATTTTATGCATCTTCTCCCATACGTGGAACCCCAGAGATCCCACGTATTTGGCCACATCTAGGAGTTCTCCGGTAGCCATAACTGGATCTTCGATTGGGCAGTTAGCTCTGCAGGGAGCAGAATAAGGCAGTTAATGCCTTATTATGAAAGCAAAGAAAAGAAAAGAAATAGTTTAAAACATAAAAGCTTTCTTCACCTTGCCAATGTCCTCTTGCATTTCTGAAAAAAAAAATTAATAACAATAAAAAAAAAAAGAGGCAAAATTTTAAAATGCATTTATATGCAAGTAGGCATGCATTTATTCAAACATTTACAAACTTACATGAAGGACCGGGATACCCTCCAAAGCTAGCTCCTCCTCTAAAACTCGGATGGATTCAGACACAGACATTATATCGTTGGTTATTTCTTCAATCTTCTGCCTCATTGCTCGACTCTTTTGCTCTTCCTCCTCCTTCAGCGCCTCCATCCTGGCTTCCTCCTCTGCTTGTAGGAAAGTGTGAAGCTTTTCAAACTCCTCACGGGTCCGCCTCTCCACAAATCGAGCCTGGACCTGAAATAAAGACTGCGTAAGCATGGCTTGGAAATGGCCGCATGACCTCTATATCTGGTATGATTTTTCATGAGAAATTTCATCACGAATCATACTCCACCTGAATATATGCCACAGTGTCCTCATAGCTTTTCTTCATTTTGTCAAAAGCATCCCTCTTTTCTTGCAAAGAGGTGAGGGCTGTCTTCATTTTCTCCTGAGTAGGTAATTAAGAGAACATTTATTACATAAGTCCTGTTGAAAAGAAAGAGATTAACCTCAAAAACTTAAGGCCAGTAACATCTTTAAACCTAACAACTCATAACAGCTACTTAGGGAACTCAGAGACAGCCCTAAGGAAAAGCATATCAATATATCACCTGAGTAAGTATTTACCTTCACATCTACAACAGCTTCGCTGACAGGGCAGCAATCATGCTGTTTGTGCTTCCTTGAGGTGTGGCAAACCACACAGATGGGCTCTTTGTCCAACAGGCAAAAAAGTTTGAGCTTCTCCCCATGAAGAGGACACATCTCCCCTGGATCACAGTATAGCTCTCCCGCGGTTTCCTTCGGCCCCTCACTCTCCTCGATGTAAGATTCACACAGGTTCTTCAGGGTGAGGCTGGGTACAGGGTCATCCAGAGACTGGGCTCTGCACAGAGGGCAGTCGCGGCTCCGTCCACTAGTCCAGTACTGCCGCAGACAGGGTGCACAGAAGCTGTGACTGCACTTAAGGACCACCGGGTCTCTGAAGATTTCGCAGCATATGGGACAGGAGAGGTCCACCTCTTGGAGTGAGAGCCTGCCCGCCATTTTGACACCAGCACTGTTTTCCTCTGAAAATGAAAGTAGGGCAAAAGTGCACGTACCGATCAAGTACAGGGAATGGCCTTGTCTACACCCACAAGCACTTGCAATGTCATCTATTTACTTCACCCCATGAACAATACTGTACACAAATAAGTCTTTAAAACCTTTAAGTGAAAACTGAATACCCATCAGTTCCACAAGAAAAGTTACATACAAACATACCTGACAACCAGAGTCCTGTAACAGATGAACGTACTTAGATACGAGCACTTCCTGCTTCCTGTTATGTTGAGTCACCCAAAGGAGGCGGAGTGTCAGAGGCAGAGTAGGCATATTTAACCCTTAACTAACCCTTACATCTATTATCATCGTATTTACAGTCTAAATCAATGGTTCCCAAGGGAGAAAAATGTGTTAACTGATGATTAAAAGGACAAAAAAAGAAAAAAAAAGTTTTATTATGTCACTTTTAAAACTATGTTTAGTTTTTCTCATTTGATTTAATTTTTCTCTTTTTCTTTCTAAAATACTGCATTATTTTTAGCTGTCTATGGGGAAAAATCATTTCAAATGAAACTATCTAAAATTTGTTCTTTAGTTGAACTGCTTAAAACCTTTGCCATGGGGAGGGTGGGGGAGTGTAAGTAGACACTGTTTCAATTTAAGGGTCCACAAACCAAAAAGGTTGAGTACCACTGGTATGAATTATGGTTTCGGTAAGATCCATAATCCAGACTCTTTAAAAATGAAAGTTATTAACTCTGTGCTCAAATTCAAACTCAAAGATTCAAACTCAAAACTCAAATTAAACAAATTAAACCATAAATATGAAAACTGAAAAACTGTAAATTATGCAATACAGTTAAAGCCAATATGAAAATATGTTCATTATGAAACACTGAATAGTCATGTGGGATGTAGTATTTAGGTCCAAAACTGCAGCCTGTTCTCATTCGTCACCGTGACACTTTTATTAAGCCCTAAAAACCTCCCTCTGCATATGACGCCATCTTGTGGCAAAGAACAGCAAAAGGTTTATCTTCAGTGTGCAACTAATGGCTACTGCCACACATATTATGTGGTTGGATGGGCAGTGTAATTACTTTGCAAATTCACTTTTTGCTTGTTATGAGGGTTCACTCTGCAGTCAGTGGCCATCACACTCATTTGATATTTTTATTTTTCATTTAATGGCAAAATACAACAGTTTGTAACATACTGCTTTCCAATTTATGATCATTAGATTTGCATTAAAATGAAGAAAGCTTATCTGTGGAATACGTCTGCTGTAGTGGTAAAGCCCTTAGTCAGACGCCATTTCTCATATTTCTTTCTTTCCATCCTCTTTTATCACACAGTATACTGGAACTGTCCAGAAAGCCTGTCCTGTATTTGTTGCTATTATTATGCTCCAAAGAACAACAACAAATAGACAGAGAAAAATAGAGTCTGCAACTTGATAGATGCATTGTATAACTCCAGAGCATCAGAAAGCACACCCTATTTATCTTTAGTGTTCATTCTGTCCTCTTGGAGTCCAGTTGTACCCATTGACAGCCTCCACATGGTCTCTGAGAATGTAACTTGAAAATTGCATGTGGTAGAAACTTCTTTTGATTGGTTGGAAGCTCCTCGTCGGGCCTGATAACAAGCTGTGCTTGGCCCTTTTGGCCTTCTCTGGTGAGTGATTAGAGCCCAGGACTCCTCACCGGGTCAGCACTATAATCACTTCACATGCAGTAAGTCGTCACATTAAGGGATCCTCCTGCATTTAAACTCTTTATCCTCTTTAACTTTGCATTTAAACTCTTTTGGACATAAGGAGCTGTTTTTAGAAATGTGGGAAAACAAAGACAATTACAATCTCATGCTGCACATTTTCTTTCCCAGAAAACAATTTAGTTAATTCATTTCTTGCTATTGGCTTATTTAGAGGAACTGTAACTTCTTTGTAGCGGCTATATTTGTGGCATGAGTTACTAACTAAAATTATGAGGAGAGCTTATAGCGAGTCTACATCACTTTTGAGAGAAGAAGTAAACATTTCTTCCTTCTAGCTAATGCTAGCTAATGGTAGCAAACTTTAAGTTATTATTGTTATATAGGCCATTTCTGAGCTAAATTGCATCCTTTAATTGTCAATTTTAGTATCACTGGCTCATGTTAACTGTCTTATTTGGAAACAGAAAAAAAAAAAATCTAATTTTTACTTAAATTCATCTTTATTGTAGTCAAATTTTTGTTATTGTAGTTACAAATTAAGTTAACACATATGAAGAACACGTCAACACAAATGTGTTCGCTGTGTGATTCATGCTATTGTACTTATTGTTCATTAGTTATATGTTACATTTTAGCTGTCTAATTCAGCTCACAGGTAGGGATGAAGAGCTTGCTGAAAAGAAACTGACAGGACACTGACATTGAAAAATATAATCCAATCTCTCGCTGTCACTTTTTGGTATGCCACAGAGACTCAAGAGCTTTCATTTTGACCCAGAGCTACAGAAGGTGATTTTACTGTTTGATTGGAATGAAAACTTGCAGTCTTACCCCTGACTGATGGAGTAGTCTGTACATGGCCATCCTGTCACCTTCAAGAACAATGTGAGCATAAAGTCAGCTTTCCAAAAGTTACTTGTAATTGAGTTTCATTTTTTTCAGTTGAAGAGACTTTTGCCCTCTTTGCTTTTTGTGACGTGTGACAGGCGACACAGATGGGCTGTTTGTCATCCATAAATGAGGTTTTGAGTTTCCAGCAGATGTTCTGGTTGTTAGTTTCTTCACTTTCCTCCTGGAATGACTCAGAGTTTTTTAAAGCAGGATGAGCTCCGCTTCAGTTGGCCAATAACATATTTATTTTGTTGATATTTAATGTAATCGTAAATAGGCTGTCATGTCTCTGCAAGCCTTTCACTGTTCATACAGTGAATTACAATTTACATCAGACATCAATGCAATGCCATTCACTGTAACTGTGGTATGATTATGACTAAAGGTTTCAGTGCTTGGTTCAATTTTATTTATTTATTATCTGCTTGTTATCATTCTCACACAGTTTCATAGCTCTTTATGAGGCACATGTCAAGCACATGTGTCATGTCTGCTGTCTTGATTGTAGTATTTGTCACTTCTGATGTATGCAAAACCTGACAGCACCTCTATTGCCTTTATACTGAATTGAAACCAGTCGACATGTTTCCCTGACCACCACTAGAGGTCAGAATGTACCCACTTATGGCAAAGTCAGCTAAAGCGCCATAAGATACTGAACTTACGCTGCAGCACTCAAGCAGAGATGTTCTTCTTACTTTGCATCATAATGAATTCAGATAAACAGACAAATATCAGGGGATGAGATATAATCCATCTTATCCTCCAGCGATTGGGGCTTTGAAAACACCTGCGCTACCTCAGGATAAAGCAGGTAAACGCTAACATTTACCTGGATATCACTGTCTGTGGCCTCTCCTACCCTGTAAATTGGTTGTCAGCCAGTGTGACCCAGGCTAATGGTGATTCATTATTGCTCACACCCTGCTAGTGTTCACAGAGCTTCATCTGGGCTGAGGGGGGAATGGGGAGGGGGGCCATGTCAATCTCTCAGCATCTAATGAGGACAGGCAGGCTAACACACAGCAGAGATAACACCAGTCAGACCTGTGCCACCGCCTGATACCTTACAGAGAGCATTAGCTATACTCTGACATCACTTTGACGGAGCTGAACTGCAAATACCATCGGTTGATGGAGCTCCTTCTTTTTAGGTTGAGGAAAATACTAATGACTGCGGCGGAGAGGGAGCATTAAAAACATCATCAGTGAAGCATAGCATTTATTTCACCCATGTACAAACCTATGTGTACATGAGTGAAAAAATGTGACAAAAAGTCAATAGTCTATTACTCTGCTGTGCTGCGCAGTAAAGCTGGACAGTAAAAAGTGAACTAAAGCCAGTGAATTATGGGGAATTGTAAGATGAAGGAGGATAAATGAGAGAGAGCTAAAGAAGACATAGAGAGAGATTTTATTGTATGGATTGATGTTGTTGGCAGGCAGTTCACCCTAGAGTCTCCTCAACTTCATTATTGGCTGTGTGCTTACACAGCGCATCAGATTCCTGTTACGAAAATGGTAAAACATATCCCTTTATTAATGTACCACTTACTAATCATGCACACTTAATAGTTATAGTGATTAATGGCTTTTTAAATACTCGATAAATTAAGTAACCACAAACATATGCCACGTAAATGACACAACGT